GTGTGTGTGTGTGTGTGTGTGTATATATATATATATATATATATATATACATACATACATACATATACACATATATACACACATACATACATAATAGTTAATTCTTAAAGAAATACACTCCGATCATTTTGGAACAGGTTAAACTTGTGCAAATCACTTTCCCTGAGAATCCAACACAGTTTATGAGCTTTGTGCTTTTCAGTTTTTAACTGAAAAAGTTCCTCAACAGCAAAATATCTTCATGAATTAAGACAAGATGCCTTCAGTTCAGCTTCTTTTACCATGTTGCCCTGGATGATGGAAAATCTACTCCTACATGTTTCCAAAGTTGTGCTCTGAGCATCAAGATGAAATCTGGTTTACTTTATTCTACTTAAACCTTGTTCTCATGAATCATGTAGCATATTCTGTCAACTCTACTAAATTATTTAAATATAGAAACTAAAAAATAATTTGTATTTTCTTTCTCATAAAAACTATTCCTTGGACTTTTATTCCTTTTAAACTTGCAGATGAATAGCAGATAAACATGTAGCAAAAACAAAGAGAGCTAAAAAAAATAAAGTCACCTCTTGTGACAGTTTGACACAGTAAAAAATAAAGTTCAAACTGTTGCTCACTCTTGATACCATCCAGGTCAGCGGTGGCCAGCGTCAGAGCTTCGCTCTCGTCCGTGGGGATACGCTGGTACTTCGCCTGCTCGGTGCCCGTCATGTTGCCCGTGCGGCGGCGCTCCTGCAGGTCGTAGCTGCGACTGGAGACCCGGGTCAGGGGTGGGTGTTCAGATGACGGTGACAGAGGAACAGGACTGGGAGTGCTGGGTGACTCCGGTTTACTGGTGAGAAAACGGGAAATGAAAAAAAATTAATCAGTTCTCAAAAGTAACAAGGAATATATTTTTTAGAGGTTTCACATGAACTGTACAGAATTTCCAAAAATGTAACTTAATTGAAACAAACAGTTCAGAGGTATGGCAGCACTTTTTCATGTATTTCTTTCAACAAATAGGTTTGTGACGGTTCCTGTTTATTGGTTTTATTGCTATTTATTTTGAGTAATTTATGTTGGGTGCCAGCCAGGTATCCCTCCTGACATATAGGATGATATTTAACCAGCTTGAGTTTTTAACTGTTTTATATATATATAAATGTTTTAAAAGTTAGTTTTGTTTCACCAACCATACCAGGACACACAAAGTACAACAAAATACAAATACACACATCCTGTCGACTAAAATTAAATAATCAGTGACAAATGTTTTAAACAAAAAGTGAACACAGACAAAAGGTATAAAGCTTTCTTTAAATATATTATTTACAAAACAAAAATACAAATATAAAACAATTCTAAAACACAAAACAACCCCCCGTGTCCAAATGTGGTGTTAAAACCACTATAGTTCATAGTCCAGTTTCATGTAAACTAACTTCTAACTTGGCTCCACAAGTAAGAAGATGAAGAAGGCTTGGCTTTACAAGCAGTATGTTGTCTTGACTTGGCTTCACAAGTGCAAGGCTTGATGCAGGTTGAGGTAAAACTCAACAGAGACTTCATACAACAAAATATATACTCCTAACAAAAAAATACAAAACTACACCCACACAAAGAAACTCCATCCAGGAGTTTTTTGTAGTGTGTTTTGAGGACAACTGGAGTGTTTTAGATTTTACGGCTCTGTTTTTGTTGGTGAGAGGTTAACTGCGGTGGGGAAACGACGTGACGAGACGAGGCTTTTCGGCGTCGGTCTCCAGCAGACTCTGTTTTGGTTCGGCTTCAGCATTTGCTCCACAAACTCCACGACTGATTAAAAGTAGTCCTCAAAGGGATTATACGCCTCGTTACGGAGTTTTTTTTTTTAACGCAGGTTTAGCGAGCTGCAGATCAAGTTGGGTCTGGCCATCAAGTGAACGAGCACGAACACACACTGAGTGTGGGCGGATCTTTTAAAGGGGTGAGTCACTGCGGCTCTACGCAGGTGACCAGAATCATAATTAGTGGCGGCAGTGCAAACACAGGTGAAAATAATTTAACTAAATCTGGTGCAACTTCAGGTTGCCACAGGTTGGTTGTCTTCTGTAACAAGATTAACATCCCCACCTTTACTCAACATACTACATCATTCTGCTGCAGTGCTGACATTAAAATAAGATAAGATAAGATAAGATAAGATAAGATAAGATAAGATAAGATAAGATAAGATAAGATAAG